TGGGTGTGGGTGTGGGTGTGGGTGTGGGTGTGGGTGTGGGTGTGGGTGTGGGTGTGGATGAAGGGAATGAGAAGAAACACCCACACTCTCATCCACACCCACTCACACTCACACCCACACCCACACACCCACACACACCCACACCCACACCCACACCCACCCACATCCACACCCACACACCCAAATAAAAGTAATCTGGTAGAGTTTAATTGATTAAAGTCAAATGGAGGATTAATTTCTATATGTTTTTATATACAGTATTATAGAGTTTGAGAAACTCTGGAAGAATATGAATACCAAAAATAGTTCTCATCCTACCTTCAATACAAAATTTGAAGGAAATCAGAAAGACTCAAAAAAAAGTCTCAGATATCTTTCATGAGATCGTATGCTTAATTTTCGATATATTTAATTAATCATTTGTTAATTGATATTGTGAGATACAGTATTACATATTAAAACGGAAAATATCCTTTTTCCGTGATGTATGAACAAGTGATCAACTAAAGTTATTAAAAGTGTAGCTGACTTTTATAATATTTGATCATAGTCATGGAGAGCTTGTCAGACACTTCCGAATTGTATATACAAATATCTAGAAAACAATAATTTACTTCCGATATTACAGGCATATTTTATTTTTATAAGAACAATTAAGATACAAGATACTTAGACATGAGTTATAAAATGACCATAAACATTTATAATGTTGATATGATTCATAGAATTTTTCTTTTACATAATAACTTTAATATTTTTCTACAAAATTGTGTATTTTTTCTTTTAAGTATCCATAACATATATTCATATAGATAATGCTAGTTTACATAGAGAGGTCGAAACTTTTGGAACACTTTTCAGTATTATATGATGTTATTTTTCTAAAGAAGAAGAAAAATATGTGATAAACCATTAATGTTAATCTTTGAAAAATTTTACTCTTTATGCCATTGTAATTAAGAATCTATATAGAAAAGGCTGTTAGCGCAACGTCTGCAGGATTCAAACGTGAATCACGATGTAGTTGCCTTTTCTAATCACAGGGAAATTTTTTAATTCTGTCCATTTTGAAATGCATTTCTAAAGTATTCATTTGCTCATCTCTTCAAAACTGAAACTAGGAAATAGTTCATATATTATAATAAAATGTTATTGACGCAAGGCTTCTGATCTTATATCAACAGCTTCTTGTAGAGGTTGCATCTATCATGGTCTGTAGAGAAGAGAGGAAGAAGGGTGCAAATTTCTACTTTATATATTTCAACACTCCTTTCAGATCGTGTTTCACAAAAAACAAGCAATGTTCCCTAACTTCATTAGTTTTTAATTCATTAACGACGATCTTTATATCCAGATTGGTCAAGTTTTCATGCTCTAGATGGAGACTTATGTTGTAAGCTAATCGTTTGTGAAGTTCTTTGTTTTCGTATTTTACCATCAAAATCTGGAAAAAAATCTTCATTTATTAATGATTCAATTAAATATGTGTTTTATTAAAAATTTCATACTTAGAGTAAAAAAACAACCAGAATAGTTGATTATAACATGGAGGAGATATTTGTATTCAAATAAAATCTTTAATTTTTGAATTGTGATCTAATGAAGTTAAAAAAAACCAGAAGAGGGTGCGAGTGTTGGTGTGGATTTGAGTATGAGTGCGGAGTCGGTGTGATTGGAGTGTGCATGGGTGAACTTTATCTATAGCTATACCCATATTCACACGCAGAATAATGGCTAAGCCACAAATTTGGGGTGAGTGTTGAAGTATATGAAGAGAAGCCCAGAAATCGGACTCTACACACACCTTTCTCATCTTTTCCTTGTGCCTTTTTCAAAACTATAGGTGATTTTGATTTCTGACCCTCATGATTAAAGTCCAAGACATAAAAAAATAAATGAAGAACAACAAGTTTTATATGATTATTGGTGTTACTAAGGTAAGTCAAAAACTTCACCATGTTTAATTACTATAAATGATGATGAACCGAGTTGATTGATTCGAACTGCTTGAGAAATTTTCTTAGGTGGTTCCATAAAATATTCATTTGCCAATGCCCATGTGTCCCAACGAATACTGATTGATTTTTTTGATTGAACATCAATATGTATTCGAACAGCTTCATCTGGTGATATATGCTAATCTTGATTATTCATCGTGGTTCATAAGTACTGATTGGTATAGCACTTAAATTGAATGGACCATATTTCTTGCCAATTTGTCGAAAAATTGAAATATTATGAGTATAACCTGTATCGCCCGGCAAAGTAAAATTTTTGTGTAGCATCCCAGATAGCATAACCACCCCACAAAGATTTGTTCATATCGAATATAGTTCGACGACTCCTAGAGTGGAAAATAATTAATTACTAAGAAAAAAAAATCAATGACTATTACCAATGTTGAGCTGGACAAAATGCAATGTTCACTTCTTTTTTCTACAACAAAAAACAAAGGTATACATCGTAAAAAAGTTGTCAGCACAAATCTTTTCTTACAGAAAAATGATACTCTTCCCACCAATCGAGTTCAACAACATTTGTTACATGATTATCGGGAAACCATTGCCGAGTACCTCCACTACACAACCAAGTTAGTCGTTCACCATAACGTTTATTTAAACTTTTTACACTAGGATAATCGAGATGATCAAAATGATTATGTGAAATAAATAAAGCATCGAGATCATCAGATAGATCATTTACTGTTAATGCTGGTGGACGGAAACGTTTCGGTCCGATAAATGATGGTATATCACATCGTTCACTAAAATCATGCAATTTTTTCCAAATAACAGGAGAGAGTGAGAGAATAAACATCTATCTGAAAACTTGATCGACAAGAAATCGAAAATTATTCATTTGAACAAAACATGAAGCATGTCCAATCCAGATAAATCGTAGACAGGGTTTTGTTAGATATAGTTCTTCGGATTTTTCATATCGAATAATGGGTAACATTTTATCAAGTTCTTTTTTATTAGACGGCAATCGTGTGTTGTCCGATGCAGTGATCTTCCAAATCAAAACATGTCCTAGATGAGGCAATGTATACTGAGGATTAAATGAATTAATGAAATGACCATTTTCTATTCGAGACTTGACTAATTCGTTCGAAGCTTTATCGATTGCTCTGGCTACAGTCGTAACGTTGCTTGTCGAAATTTGATGTGTCCTGAGTAGAATGATAACGAGGTGAACGTATATAACCGTACTCTTAAATCCTACTTGTGGAGAATTCTGCGTTCTCTCTATATTACCTGTCGTCAAAATCAATGTAAGATATAAGAGAGTACACATTTTCTGATATTGTTCCGTAAATCGAACCAGAGACTAATGCCTTTGAGTTTTGACTGCAATCACTACTAGCATAAAGAAGAAAGGAAAGTTATAATTTTTACAGTGGAAATATTACAATTGCCATTTTCAACATTCTTATGGTGTCGAATAGCTTATTCTATCTACGTATGCACAAAACATCTTTCAATGCATCTAAATCATTATTTAGATAAGAAGGAAATGTGATTGCAACACCACTTGTTTTTTTGTTTTGGTTTATTTTCAATCATAATATTACGAACGATGCGCAATGATGAAGGCGATATTGTTCGATTCATCCATTTTGTAAGCATTGCCCGTCAGTGCAAAATGGATGAGTTACAAAGACAAAAATTACAGCCTTTAAGTAATCGATTAAGACATATAGCTTGGTAGAGAATGAAAAATTTCTTTTCTCAGCTTAACTATTGTGCATAGCCGGGTGTGAGTGTGGATATGAATGTAGGTGAGGGTATGAGTGATTTTGAAGAGAAGATTCACATCCACACCAACACCCACACCCCCTATTAAGTCATTAGCTGCAATCATTGAAAGAATTGTTCCTCGTCCCCTCTATCTACTGTGGGAGACGAGGGGGTCCAAATTTCTACCACCATACACTTCAATACTTCCTTTAGATTGTGTTTCATAAAAATGAAGGAGCTCGCCTCTTAGGTGAGAGTAAGGAACTTCTTTTCAATAACATCGGTTTTTGTGATAGCAGTCAGTTTTAAAAATTGTAGCCCGATTGATTTTTAATTGGTCATTGCTGCCCACTCCTCAAAATAATTTAGCTGGTAAACTGGTGTGCGTGAGTGT